CCCCCCCCCCCCCCCCCCACGCCACTCGTTCGATGCACGTACCCGCAGCTAAATGTACCAAAAGCTTATATACTCCGCGTTTTCTGTGCACTGCATCAGTGAGGCGAGGTAGGTTCGTGGAATGACTAGCCGCTGGTCGGTAATTATGAAGCAGCGGAGCGCCTGCTCATTGTAAAAGCAGCCTCATCCTGGAGTCACGCGTTCAATGAGCCACGGCCAGGTCCGGATTCGTGACCATCAGGGAAGCATGTCTTTTGGTCCGCGTAAGGAGTGCTTCTTTTTTGAAACTTGGCATGGACCTTACATTCTTGACTGGACACAAAGATCCACTCGTGTTGGTGATCATCGTCTATGTCCTGGGCAAGCACCTTTTGGGAAATCGGCGCGAGCTGAGACCCCGCTCGTTAGTACTTTATGCGACGCGCAATGGTGACGTTCGCAACTCGTGAAACGGATAGCGACACTTGGTCATGAGCTTCCAGATTCGGGTGCTCACCGCGAGATCGACGCGAACGACGACAGTGTGCTAGCGCATGATACATGGGTGACTCGTCTGGCATACATCAAGATTGCCTTACTCGTGTCTCCCATATGGTCTTTCATGGACCATATACCAACACCACCAACTACCGTTACGTCACCTACTCAAGTTGCTCACCCTTGCCTAACCCTTCCAACATCACAGGCATGGTGCGCCATTGAGCGTGTGAGGCAACTCAGAGATCAGCAAGCTGCTGAGACCAGCGTCCAGGCTCTCCACTCTTTGTAGTCACCTCTTCAAAGACCGCTTCGCCTCTACAGCACTGCCCAGAGGTTGAGCTCAACCTTGCACACAGTCATACATGGAGCTTACTCAAACACGACCCACAAACACGTCACCTACTTCAGTTGCTCACCCTTTCCAAACCCACCCAGCAGTGATGGAGGCCAGCTCGCCTTGCAGGGCATCACAATGCATGCTCTGATACCCAGGGTTCCGACATCACAGGCATGGTGCGCCAATGAGCGTGTGAGGCAACTCGAAGATCAGCAAGCCGCCAAGACCAGCGTCCAGGCTGCTGCACTATCTTTGCCCCCACCTCTTCAAAGAGTGCTTGGCTTGTACAAAGGCAGCACTGCGCAGTCCTCGACCTCCAGCTCCCATACAGTCTTTCATGGACCGTACACCAACACTACCAACTACCACGTGACGTACGCAAGTCGTTCGCCCTCACCCAACCCTCCCAGCAGTGATGGAGGGCAGCTGGCCTTGCAGCTTCAGCGCCTGGGTGAGGGACTGTCCAATGTGTAGATGTCTGGCCTTTGTACAGGCCAAGCGGTCTCTGAAGAGGTGGCAGCAAAGAAAGAGCAGCAGCTTGGACCCTGGTCTTGGCGGCCGCAATGCATGCTCCGTTATCCATGGTTCCAACATCACAGGCATGGTGCACCACTGAACATGTTAGGCAACTCAATCTTCAGCAAGCTGCCAAGACCAGCATCCATGCTGCTGCTCTTTCTTTGCCGCCACCTCTTCAAAGAGAGCTTGGCCTGTACAGAGGCAGCACTGCACAGTCCTCAACCTCAAGCTCTCATACGGTCTTTCATGGGCCATACACCAACACTACCAACTACCACGTGACGTAGGCAAGTCGTTTGCCCTCACCCAACCCTCCCAGCAGTGATGGAGGGCAGCTGGCCTTGCAGCTTCAGCGCCTAGGTGAGGGACTGTCCAATGTGTAGACATCTGGCCTTTGTACAGGCCAAGCGGTCTCTGAAGAGGTGGCAGCAAAGAAAGAGCAGCAGCTTGGACCTGGTCTTGGCGGTTGGCTGATCTTTAAGTTGCCTCACATGCTCATTGGTGCACCATGCCTGTGATGTTGGAACCCTGGGTATCAGAGCATGCATTGGGACTCCATTGGCAGAAGTCACTCACTGTCATGTGAGACATAAGCAAGTCTACATATGGACCCCAATGGTCAGCAGCGGTGTATGTTGCCTTGCTGGGTAGTGTGATGTTCAGGAGCTGAGAGAGGCTCTTGTAGTATTGAATCTGCGAGGATGGATGATTGTGATTGCAGATGATCATGCTCCAATGCAGAATGCTTCATCAGCTTCCACTGGTGCAATACTCACAAGGAGTCGCCATCATATGTCACCGGCTCTTCAAATAACCTACCTCAAGCTCCCAGCTCGGATATCAACGACACGCTGGCGGTGTTGGGGCTCGCTGACAAGGAACATCGTCATTTCTGCTCTTCTGAGGGTCACGTTGCGATATCGAACATTACAACTGTACTTGCGCTGTCCGCTGGCGGAAGCATCTGCTGATGCGGAGAATGGGAAAGAGGGTTAGGTGTATACTGCGCGATCTGCCTGTCCCGTCACGCAGTCGCTACGTTGTTGCGGAGAAGCTGTAGAGAAGTGAGGGCGAATGCAGAGAAACAGCATGAGCTCGAATAATGGTAATTCTCAGGAGGCTCATGCTCCCTTGTGCAGCAGACTCCGACATACCATGCTCTTGTCCGGTGCGAGAGCAGCTGAAACACGATAATGAAGACCGATGGGTCTTCTGCATGCTTGAATGCCCTCAGTGACTGTTAGGACATCCCAAGCCAAGTGTCGTGGTGTCAATACGCTGCAATGGCCTCCCACTTGACCTGCTGGCGGTGGCGCAACTCGACCAGTGTCTAAAGCAGCATTTCGAGAAGAGACTCACTGGCTCGTCGAGTGCTCGTGACTCGCATTTGCCGACTGCGAAGATGTCCCGACCTGCAAGCCTTCCAGCGGACCGGCGAGCGCACCGCCAAAGACGATACTTCCGTTGGACTGAAAGCTGTACACACTACTCCCACCGTCACTTGTATGATCCGACGGGCAAGAGATGTAATCGTCGCTCAGTGGGTGCGCCTGGAAACGAGACATTAGCATCTGCCCTGTGGGAGGAATAGGCTGCTCTGGTTGCTGTGCACTCTGACGGTGACGATCAACGCAGTCCTATGGGGATCGGGTTGGAGCAATGATCGAAGGCCAAGTCAGCTCAGCAATCCATGACTGTGTGTAAAGAGCAACTCACATTCAAGCCACGCACAAGTAGCGTCTTGTACTCCGCTCGACGCTTGCATTGCAAGTAATTAGTCTCACTGGGAATCTCCAGACATTGCAAGAAACATGCCGACTTGCACATCTTAATCTGTGCAGAAGATGATGATTCGCGTGGGATTTGCGGTCGACGCTCGCCTGTCGCAGGGAGACGTTCGGGCCACCTCACACTCACAGCTGCTTCATCTTCCTCGCGAGCTTTGGCTTTGTA